ATACAGTATATATATATTTGTTCCTACGCTGGGGATATTACAAAGGTGAACATGAAAATGTTGCCCTTTTAAAACTGTTTATTCTTTATTTGAACAGAGACTTATTTTAGCACATTYACAGTTGCCATCACTGTTCCACATCATTGTCAGTTTTGAATTTTTAATTTATTCAAATGTACTGCAGCGGAAATGCTGCAGCTAGCTGCTCCAGCCACTATTTGCGCTAACWAATAACCAAAGAGCTCCAGGTATAATATGGTGTAATACAAAACCTGATGATGATGCAAAAGCTTTGAAAACAGTGTTTGCAGAAGCAACAATAATTTATTTGCAACCAGAGATTTTTTAAAATGGCAGTAGCCTACTTGGGTCTTGGCACTTCTCTCAGACTAGTCATTAGCTCATCAATCAGGTCAGAATTAAACTCCTATATTTCCAAATCGAGGAGGCTCAAAGAACTTTGTACAACAGGTWAGATGMTAWATGTTTATGTATCTGCAGAACCAGACTGCAAAAGTTCTAAATTGTTGCATTATGGTTGGTTTCTGTGTGCTACTTTTAAYCTTTTACCAAGAACATGACTCATTTCAATCTACAGTATAACTGTTCATGCATATCCAACTATCAGTGAATGCCAGCTGTTGAGCATGTAAAAAGTCCAKKGAAAGCTAATCAGATAAAAGACTAAAAAAATACAGTAGCTGAACAAGTATGTCAGCAGTAAYCTTACAAGGCCACTACAAAAACAAGTTGTTACTCCCTAAAAACAAAAGTTACTAATACACCATACATCAATAAAGAAGAAACAGACCACCAAGAGTAGCTCCACAATTTAACTTTCCGTACTGTTAAGTATGGTATCGATACAAGTACCTTCATTTGACATGTAGCTCAGTTATGACTGTTTTCCACCAAATTTAACTCATTGTCTATAAGTTCACCCTTTTTCAAACAACTCATAGGAAAAACATTGATAACAATCAAGCAAGTTTCAGCTTCACTGAAGGAAAGAAAGACATTAACATTTGAAATGAGGTAGGCGGTAGTTTGTTGAATTTGTGAGGAAGTTGCCTGCAGTTTAGAAGAAAACTGATCTGCCTGGTTATTGTGGTTGAGCGGCGAGATCTTCTGCTTTCATCTCATTTTTTTATCAGCCATGTACTGTTTCCATTTTTGTTTTGTTTTTCTTCTTTTTGGTGTGTGTGTGTGTGTGTGTGTGTGTGTGTGTGTGTGTGTGTGTGTGTGTGTGTGTGT